CTGCAGCTGGCAATGGGAAACGCGCCGTCGGGCAACGACTCCCCAGCGCCCTCGAAGTCGGCGGCGCGGATGACGTAGACGCCGTGATCTCGTAGAACTAGCGATGCGTCTTGCCCTTGTCCTAGGGCCCAGGCCGGACGCCCGGGGCCTGCTGCCCACCTCTGCGGGGGAAGGTCGGCGGGGCCAGCCCGGCGGGCCGGCCCTTCGAGCCTTCGGCGACACAGGCACCAATGCCCCTCGGATGTCATGACGCCCACCCCTCCCGGGACGGGGCCCTGGCTGAGGAACGCCATGCCGACGCGCCCAAAGCCTCCAAATCCACGAAGCGACGGAGAAGGGTTGGGGGCGACCACGACCTCGACATCCACGACGCATTCCGGGATGAGCCAGGCGACGCGGCGGCCCTGCTCGACAACGTACGTCCGCGGGCCAGCGTTCGACGTGACAACTTAGATCTCGCCGCGGAAGTCGGCGTTCACCACGCCGCCTGCGACATCGATCCCTCTGAGGGCGAGTCCAGAACGAGGGGCGGCACCGAGGCACGCGTCCGGCGGCGCCGGGGCCGCCAAGCTGGTCGACACCAGTTCACGACCACAGGACGCGATACTGATGTCCACGCAGCGCGGCCCCAGACGCGCCTAGCGAGGGCGCGTGGACGTCGGGGCTCAAGCTGGATCTTCAACGTGTTGAACTCGAGGCCATCGGTGTCGCGGTCATCCTGGCCATCAGCGCCCACCGCCAGCGCCGCGAGCTGCTCGAGCGGCAGGTCCCCCGAATGCGAATGCAGCTCGACGAAGTCGTCGACCAGGGTGCACAGGCGGCCGCTCGGCGCCGATTCCAAGCCGAGAGGATGGCGCCAGGGTGAGATGTGATCTCGTGGCCGCCCGGTCCAAACACGCAGTTGGCTGACGGGAGCAGACGCGGGCCTCCCTAAAAGAGAAGTCGAGTTCAGGCTCGAATTCGGGGGGAAAGGGGCATAGAGAAAAGCAAAAGGTCGAAAACAAGTATGACGTTCTGGGGGCGTCCGAAAAGTTCAAACGTTCGGCCACAGTTCGAAAAAGCGTGACCACCCAAAAAAAAATCACTACCAAAATCCGCCGATCCGGCGCGTGAGTTCCCCGGAGCGTGTGCTTGAGCTCGCTCAAGCTTCGCTCTGCCGAGGAAGGGGGAGCTCATTTCCTACCTATTTCCGACCTATTTCCGACCGATGTCCGACCTATATTCGACCTAATTCAATGCTTTGCCCCACCCCACCCCCCCAGAGCGGACCCCCCTCCCCCCTGCCCCACCCCACCCCCCCAGAGCGGACCCCCCTCCCCCCTGCAGAGCCCCCCCCCCTGCAGCCCAGCCCCCCCCCCCCCCCCCCCCCCCCCCCCCCCCCCACCCCTTACCTGCAGAGAGGGCAGACCCCCCCCCCCCCCCACCTCCGCTCAGAGACCCCCCCCCCCCCCCCCCCCCCTGCACCCACCCCCTAGGCAGCCCCAACCCCCCCCCCCCCCCCCCCCCCCCTGCCCCCCCCTCCCCCCCCCCCAGCAGCAGAGGAATCCCCCCCCTGCAGCCCAAACCCCCCCCCCCCCCCCCCCCCCCCCCCCCTGCAGAGAGGACCCCCCCCGGCAGCCCCCCCCCGCCCCCCTGCTGCAGAGCGGACCCCCCCCCCCCCCCAGCAGGCACCCCCCCTCCTGCAGCCCCCCCCTGCAGAGCGGACCCCCCTCCCCTGCAGCCCTCCTCCGAGCGGACCCCCCTGCAGAGCAGACCCCCCCCCCCCCCTGCAACCCAGCTCCCCCCCCGTCGTCGTCGTCGTCGTCGTTGTCGCGTCGTCGTCGCCGTCGTCGCTCGCGTCATCGTCGTCGTCGTCGTCGTCGTCGTCGTCGTCGTCGTCGCTCGCGTCGTCGTCGTCATCGCCGTCGTCGTCGTCGTCGCGGTCGTCGTCGTCGTCGCTCTCGTCGTCGTCGTCGTCGACGCATTCGTTTTCGTCGTCGTTTTCGTCTTCCTCGTCGTCGTTCATTTCCACAGGCACCCGGAGCGCCCCGGATCGGCGGCACTGGCCGGAGGCCACTACAATTAACTAAATGTATGCGCGCACATTGCAGCAACAACGCTTCCAATGAAATTCGATACCTATAAGAGAGCCCACTCAAAGTTCATCCAGATTCCTGGTAGTCGGAACTGCTTCAGAACTTGAGGATTCTCGCAACGTTGAACTCGAAAAATGAAAGGGCATTGTCTCGAACTTTTCCTGGGCAAAAATTATTCGAACATAAGGCCCGTTGGAACTCCCTCAGCCAAATACACGCCCAGGGCCGGCGAGGCGTTCGTGGTCAACCCCCCTCCACAACCCCGTTGTTGGACCGCGCGGACTGCAGACCTGGAAGGGGCAAAGAGGGCAGCGCTCACGCCATTCACGGCCAGAGCGCGCAGGCTGTGCCGACTGGCCACACCATCGCGAAGTCGAAGCGACAGGGCAGTGAACCTCCCATTTAGCCACCTGCAACCCGCTGCC